CTTCTTCTCATGCTCTTCCTCCCTACTCTGTTCTTAGTTACTCTCCTTATATCAAAGAAGACATTTGGCATTTGTTTTTTAGGGATTGGCTAGCTTCACTTAGCATAATCTGCTCTAATGCCATCCATTTCCCTGCAAATTCCATGTGTCTTAAATAGACTGTGCCAAGGTGGGGGTGACCTCAATCTGGGAAGACTTGGAGGAAGAGAGAACTCAAGATTTTCCCAGATTTCTTTCTCTTCTTGAGACATTCATTCATTCCACAACTGGTTGAACAAATTGTACCAGAAAAAAATAGAAGAGAATCCTTGTCTTCATTAAATGCGCAATGGTTCCGGGTGGTGTGGGAGTTGACAGATAGGCAACAAACAATAATTATATGTAAATTATTTGGTAGGTTAGCCAAGAATAAGCATGAGAAAAGGAAACAGGTGAGCCAGGTAAGATGGATCATTACCAGGAGGTGAAGGGGTTGATGCTTGGGCAGGCTTCACTGAGACCCTCATACCTCAGGTTAGTGCCTCAGAGGAACAAGACACAAGTAAGCTGTAGTGGATGGTAAAGCAACTTCACTTTCTAATTGCTTCTGTATTAACAAGGACATTCCAACATTTTTATTCAGCTTGAACTGATTTTATTTGGAATTAAAACACTCTTTTACATATGAATGAGTAGATAAAAATAAAAGGTTGGAAAGAATTTAAGAATGTGAGAAATTTTTTCTTATATGCTCACAAAACGGATTTTTATAGAGTGCTTAAGATGTGCCAGACACTATTATAGGTGCTTGTGTTCCGTGATGAACACAATGTGGTAATTTCAGAGAATGATAAATACATTGAACAAGGTAATGATGAGGGGCAGATGTCTTTAACCATGGTGAGGYGGTCAGTGGCCCAGGAAGGCTTGTCCAAAGAAGTGACATTTTACCTAAAGCTGAGAATGGGAGTGAGCCAGTATGCTAAGAACCTGGAAAAAGCATGGCAGCCAGAGGGAACAATAAGTACAAAGGTCTTGCAGTTGAAAAACACTTGGAATATTTGAGGAAGAAAAAGGAAGTAGGTGGAGTGGAGTTAGTAAATCCAGATGCTTTCAGAGAGCTTGGCCAGGCTTAATAATGGATGGGCTTCATGGTACAAAGGGAAGTCAGGGAGGGTCTGAAGCTGGAAGTGATTCATAGGATATATTTTTAAAACCACACACTGGGTCTGGGAGTGTACATAGCTCAGTGATAAAATTCTTTTCCTAGTTTGTGCAATACCTGGGTTTGGTGGCCAGCGCTGAGGGAAAAAAAAAMCAAAACTTCATTCTGGTTACTATAAGGAAAGGCAAGAGGGGAACAAGACATGAGTTTATTTATCCAACATGTACTTACTGAGCATACATTATGTGCTAGGCAAGGTGTGAAGAGTAGAGTGGTAAAAACAATTGTTTATAGAGGCTGGAGATGATGACCCTTAAATAAAAGGGTAACACTGAGTTTGGAGAGACATGTAATTTATTAGGAAGTTGTAGGATTACTGAATAACTGAGTAACTGGTTCCAATTCTTCAATCCTCATGATATATATATATATACACACACACACACACACACACACACACACACATACATCTCACATCATACATACACACACACACACACACACACACACCATCCTCTTGCTGTGACTTCATGGCACTTAAGTTTTATCTAGAATCTAAAGGAGGGTATTTCAAGAAATATGACCCAGTGTATTGCCAGACCAGAAATATTCTATTTACTTTCGATTTCCTTCTAGTCTGGCTGTGTCTCTACCTTTCAAGCTTGCCAAAGTTGCCAGTAACTTCCTTATTAACAAACCTAGTAGATATATTTCTATCTTCATCAGAACCTCTCAGCAGCATTGACACAGTTTGTCATTCATTTATCCTTTCACCTAATACTAGCTAAGTACTATTTTGAATGTTAAGAAGTAAAGAAAACAGAAATCCTAGAGAGATGAGACAACAAACAATAAACAGAAACAGGTAATGAGGTAAAAGGCAATAGTGCTTTAGAAAAAATTGGAGTGGGCCAAGAGACATCAGGAGTGCTGGGAAAGAGGTTGCAATTTTAAAAAGGGGAAAGGTAGGCCTCATTGAAAAGGTGATATCTGAGTAAATACTTGAAGGAGGTTAAGGAGTGAGCCTTGAGAATACATGGGGTACAAACATTCCAGATAGTGACAATGACCAATGTAAAGGCCTTAAGGCAGGATTGTGCCTGGTGTTTTTGTGAAAAGGAAGCAGAGTCTAACATGGTTAGAACAAAGTGAGCACAGGAGAGAGTAGTAGATATTGAGATCAGATAGGTAAGGAAAGCTAACAGACTATGTAGGGTCCTGCAGGCCACGGTAAAGATTTTGACCTTTATTTAGATGCAGAGCTATTTTTAAAAAATTTTTGTAAATAGATACAATAACTTTATTTATTTTTATGTGGTGCTGAGGATCAAACCCCCTGCCTCACACATGCTAGGCAAGTACTCTACCACTGACCACAACCCCAGGCCCCAGAGCTATTTTTTGAGTAGAGTTGCAGCATGAACTGACTTGTGTTTTTAAATGATTCCTCTGCCTGCTTTGTTGATAGAAAACTGTAAGGAAGTCTGGAAGCAGGAATCRCAAGGGATTCCTCACCCTCTTTTCCTTGACCTTTTTCTCTCTGTTGATTCTATTTCCATATCTCCACATTTTCCCCCTGTCTTAGTAGCTACTCCTTCTTCCCCAACACCCAAATGTTAGAGGACCCTAGACCCAATCTGAGACTTTTCTTGTATGCAGCTCCCATCTCTGAATGATGTCATGCAAATCTGG